ACCAGCATTATGATACAATGAGCTCCACGCCTTGTTTCCTGTTTTTGCTGCACATGTTACAGCGCTACAGTTAATGTAACATTTTGGGTCAATTTCAATGTTCCCATGTGGAAGAAGTCATTTTTAGAATAAAGTGTTTTTACAAAGATATTTTAAAAACTTCAATTGGATGGATGTTGTCGCAAAATTACACTTTTATGTGAACAAAACATTAAAGTTTTATTTTGTTTGTTTGTTTTTTCACACACCGTGTTTGAAATGAATTGAGTTGTTTTTACGGAGAAAGGTTATAAATATACATTTGTTCATTGTGACAACAGACAGGTACATAATCACAGCAGAAACAGTTTTATCACATGACTGTGGCAATCAGCCTCAGGTAATCGGCATTTTGCCACTTTACTGTATAAAACCTATAAAGCTTAAATGTGACTCCTGCATAACATCCCCCCTTCTTTTTTCACAGTTTCATACATCTCTTTCTCACTTTCTTCCATTTTAACCGCTTCACTTCCCTTCTCCTTTTCTTTCCTCTCTGCTGCACTCTGATTTTTTTCTTCTTATTGTTTTCTCCAGCTCTTTTAAGAGTTCTGTAACAGATATAGTTCTTGAAATCCAGTCCGTGGGGAGYCATCGAGGCAACGCACGGGGAAATTAATGTTGAGGCCGCATCGTCCAGGATGCCGACATGTAGTGCGCTTAAAGCTGAGCAGTTTGCTGAACACACGCTGCCACAGAGGACTTAGCCAGATTATGTCTGCAGAAGAAAGAAAAGAAATCCACGTTGTAAAATCCAAAATAAACACCCATAATCCACAGAGAGAGGAGTAATTTAATGTCTTATAAGGAAAACAAAGTGTTCAAATGAAGGCATTTGGTTGTTTATTAATAACACGGTCTCACAAGAACATTCAAGCAACTAAATTACTGGTTTCTGTTACAACCTTACTAATTTATACATTCATTATGCAACATAGCACGTGTAATAAATCAGTTTTCAAACTGTGTCTCTCTGAATATCTCTACCTCCAGCTGAGACTTAGATAATAAAATTCAAATTTTTAACATTGAATGTACAAGAATCTGTAAGTCAGTGAAGATAAATGGACAAATCTCCAAACAGAAGAGGTAAAACACCTCCTTATTGGTCCAAACTGGAGTTTATTGAGCTGAATAGAAAAGCCTGTCCTTTTTATTAATGATAAACAGACAAGTGGGAGTAAAACAGTAGATGCAGCTCTGAGTGTGTGCGTGCTGAAATCAGTTCAGAGCAATTTCACTTGAAGAAAATGCTGGGATCTATTCATCTGGTCCAGCTGCTGGAAATTTGTCCATCCAACCCAGTCCCATACCTTCCCCCCACAGACACCTCTGATTTCTTAGCTCATCGTGTTTGCTCTGAAGTTGCTGGGKGGAAGAAAAACTGGCACTCATGTCCACGTTAAAAATTAATGATGCAGATTTTGTTTTGTTTTGTATCAAAATGTCTGAAGGTCATGGAAATAAAGCAGATTTGCTAAACAGGTTGAACACTATTCCACCATTTTTATCATGGAGTCTCAAAACACTTAAAAGGAAAGATCATGTGTCTCATTAGGTTTGTGTGCTGGATGGACTTGTACGGCCCGAAAATCTCAGCATGAATTAAAAGAATTTGCCACCTGCACATAAATAGTCATACATAAATAGCCACAACAAATTATTTACTGGATGCATCTCTGGTTCTGGGAGTGTGTTGAGCTTTGAAGTGAATGTGAACACAAAAAAGGCAACATGCAGGAAGTCAGTTTTGCAGATGTTGAGCTAAAATGGGGCATGGTGGTTGAGACTCATGTTCATCATATATTCTGAGTGCTCACAAGAACTTTTATTTAGATCTCTGAACTGCAAAATCATTGTATATTCAGGCACTTTGTCCTTTTTTTTTTTTGAAAAATAATCTGAAAAAAATGGATAATTGACCAGTATCGCATTGCTGATTTTGTGCACTAAATGAAAATGGAAAAAACAAATAACAATCATTCATTTATTTTAATTTTTTAACTGATGTGCGGCCGAGGCCATCTTGAACCGCACTCCATACCAGTAGGTGGCGGTAATGCACACCTTCAGTTTATTGCCAACTGCCATTGAACACCACAAGAAGAAGAAGATGGCACGAAAGACAAGACAAACACCAGAGTGAGGCAAAGCACAAGACAACCTAAAGCACACATAAACACCAATCCTCAATTGTTTATCTTGTTTTTATTTTCATTAGATAAAAGTTTCTCAGTATCTAAAATAAAAACTGGAGCTTCTATCACAGTATGAATAGTTTCAAAATCTTTTTTCTCTACTGCAATATATCTGAAGAAAAACCAATCTCCCCCAAAAACTATATTTTCTGAATAAACTACTAGAAATGCCACGTCTGCCGCTCGGGTAATTGCTTGCTTGTGTTTCCTATGTATTTGTCTCACCTTTGTCTTCCGATCAATGCTTACAAATATAGATCAGGCATTCTGGTGTCCATTTTGACAGACGGTTTTAATGAGGAGGACTCTGAAGGATACAGTCTAATTTTATTCAAACCTTTGACTCCACAAATTCAATCATGAGCTTTTAGTTTTCCAGTGGCTTTGTTGTTTTAACATTTGCATGCATTAATTTCACTTTTTAACCTTTGTTAGTTTTCCAGTGTGGGTGTTTGTGCACCTTTAAAAGTGTTTTTTCTGAGTGTGTGAGGAACATTAAATGAGACCGTGTGCATGTGTGTGAGAGAGATGTCATTCAAACAGCATTCGGTGAGTGCTGCAAGGCTGAGATAAGCGTAAAGATCTGATTTCACTTCTCAGCGTGCCTACTGCTTCGGCTAATTTTCATAATTAATTAAAAAGCCGGTAAACATTACATCATGCAGCTGATAAGCTTCCCTGTTGTTCTTCTTGCCTCCCATTAACTCAGAATTATCACTTTGTGATACATCGTGCCGCTGCACTTATTGCTGAATGTCAATGGAGTGAACCTAATGTTTGACTTCACAGCAAAATGACACAATGTAGCCTCTGTCAATCACTGTGATGAGACTGAAGTCAACAACAAAGAACACAAGAAATGAGCGAGTCTGGCAGAAATCCTTATTGGCCTCTTCGTGCAAATAAAGCCTCTAATTTCTCTTCAACGCCTCAGTGTTCTTTAACACTGTCAAACCAGGAAAGCTTGATGTTCTCAATATAGAAAATTAAAGAAAATGGCTGATATTTGAGATGGTTTCTGCTTTTATTAATGAGGAGAGAAAGAGGCTTAGTTACAAACGTCATGTTTACTGGCAGTTTACAGATGGAGACAAAAATAG